AAAAGGGACGACTGCAGAGGCAGGAAGGCTTTCCGTGGAAGTCGGTGGTTCCTACCACCACGTAAAGGCAAATCTTATTAAATTCTTGAGATTAATCTTTTTTCTTGCAAAACGTTTAAAAAATGGGGCGGGGTATGAGGCCTGTGTGTTCATTATTTTAGACTATTTGAATACCGCTTGTGCCAAGTATCATGGTGTGAGCAAGATAGCTCCTATGGGGAGCTCAGAAGGAAACAACAGGGCAACGAGTTAAGATATTTCAGCTTTTAAGACCTTAGAAAAAATCATAGTGAGGAATCTGGACTTGAAACGTAACAGGGACATGTCAGGCCCAGTCCCTTCTGACCTTGCTGTCTAGCCCAGGGGACACTCACCAACTCTCAGGTCTTGTGTGCAGGGCGCTGGCAGCTCGTCACCTCTGGCTGTGGCTGGTATGGAGCCCTCAAAATGCGGAAGGTGATAAAGACACACTCATTTCAGTCATAGTACATTTCAAAGCCACTGTAAAGTAACAAGCCTACAATCCTTCCTTTAACGTATGAGAACAGGGAATCTCGCAAAGTTTCTCTTCCACAGCACATTTCAGGATAAAAGGCCTCAAATCTCCTAGTGGATGGAGGAGGGTCCCCTGGGAAAAGGGACAAGTTTTCCTGCTCCGGCTGTGCCCAGGGCAGCTGCTTCAAACACCACTCGGATGGTGAGGGATGGAGCAGGAAAAGGGAGATGCCGAGACATGTGTGAAAAGGGACGGGCTCGGCCCACATGATGCCAAATGAAAACGCAAAATGACCCAGGACAGGCCAGTGGCTCGATCAGGTAGAATCCAGATGCTCCAAGGCCCCTGGGCGACTTTGTGTGGTTTTAGCAGTGTTTCTCTTGGTGTTGTGAGGCCTACAATTCCTTTATGAGCTTCAGCAGGTAGTGTGACCCTGTGAGCAAGGAACCAGTTGAAGCCTAAGCTACACTCGTGGGGGTGGTCAGAAGGTACTCCTGTGCGGTTTACGGAGCAGCGGTTTGGTGGCTGCTGTGTCTGGCGGATTGACGGAACTTGCCATGGCAATTTCAGTGAGGCTGTAGATGGCCGAGCTCTTATCAGACTATGCTGTTTTCTAATCCCAGGAAAGGGGTTTAAAATTCTGTAGAAACCCCACCCACATCCACAGACAGGGGTACTCCTTCATTTTAAGCAAAAACCTTACAAAATGTCCAGGTGACAACATTTTGCCACCAGGACCATCAAGCACTGGTCTTATTGGTGGGTATCACTATTACGTATAAAGAATGCATATCTTTGACCTAATGATCCCGCTTCTGAAAAGGGGTGACATCAGTACTGGGAAGAGATCAGGATGGTTTTCTGAGGAGTATTTATAATGGATGTCTTATACGTGAAGTTTTATGGGTACCCAGCCACGCCTGATAGGTCCTGTATTGTCCGTGGCTGCCTGCCCCTTAGGACACAGAGCTGAGTAGCTGTGACAGAGACCACATGGCCAGCAAAGCCTTATCATCTGTCCCATTACAGGAAAAGTGTGCTGGTCCTGATTTACAATAAAGGTGCAAAAAGTTAAATGCAGATCGACAAGAAAGCAGTGAAATAAAAGGTGTTTGAATTATGCAGTGGAACAGGCATGTTGACAATATACATTAAGTGATAAAAGAGGGTAAAAAATTGTGTGCTTATATGTGTTTTATAGAGGAATTACATTATACAAAAATAGCATGAGTGACTGTCTAGAGAAGTCAGGTCCATTTTAAGTACGCAGTTATATGTATTCCTAACGTTTCTAAGCCTTAATGTATTACGTGTGTTGTTAAAGTAATTCATCAGGGAGAACCCTGACTTCAGAACCGCTGTTGATCGCTTTGGAGCCCTAGCTCTGGGGTTCATTCTTGGGCCCAGGCTCCTTGGCTGAGGAGTGGTGACTAAGAGAACACCAGGCATCGTTGCAACAGTTACTGTCATGAAAGACTCCACGGCAGGAAGGCAGCTGTATCGGCACCTTCCAATGGACATACAGGTGGCATAGCTGCAGTGCCCATGGCTACACTCGGGAAAAACCAACCAAGCACACCTGGGTTTTGNACTGGCAGCCAGGGCTAAGAAATCAGGGACGGGAAACATGACAGCAGGGACAGCAGCAAAGCCGCGGAGCCTTCTGGACTGGAGGAGACAACGAGTGCAACGGGTGAGGCCCGAGTGGGTCCTGAACCGGCTGAACAAACAGAAGAGGCTACAAAGGACATCACTGGCACCAGTGGACGAAACTGTATTGTCAGTGTCACATTTCTGGCATGCGCCAAGTTTACTGGTGTTATGTAGAATTACCCTTTTCTTAGGAGGTATTCGTGAAGCATTTAGGGATAATATAGATAGATGCAAATAAATATAATACTCTGTGTGTGTGTGTGTGTGTGTGTGTGTGTGTGCGCGCGCGCGCACGTGCGCGTGTGATTAAGCAAATGTGACCAAATGTTGATTGTTAAATGTAGAAGGATGTTTATTGTATGGAGTCCTATGTTTCTAGAGATTCAAAAATTTTCAAAATAGTAGTAAGTTGGGATAAAGAGTTAATTAGCAATGAGCAAGCCAGAGTCCCACAGGAAAAAAGCAGTTCATCTTTTAACTTAATAATTTACGCTGATGAAACATGCACAGCACAGGGCAGTGCGCCCTGCATCGGGGGCTGTGCTGAGGTGCGGTGTGGCTCCACCAACAGAGAATGAGACAGGGGTCAAGCAGTTCCTATGTCACACTCACCATGGGCAGGCCTGGGAGGCGAGGCCAGTGAAGGGGCCAGGAGCACACGTGTGTCGTTTCCATCTCCGTAATCGTCATACTGAAATCAAAGCAAATGATTTTTAACAAAGCGATTGTCAGATGTCGGCTCTGGGCGCAGAGATGGTTCTCCCCCCAATGCCACATCGGCAGGATGGTGTGACACTGCATCTGAGCTCAGCAATAGTAGTGACAAGTGTGATTACAATGACAGTGGCTGGCTAGGCTTAAAGCAGTGAGAGGAAGAGGTGTCAGTAAAATCAGGGAGCTCTGTGCAAGTGGCCTCCAGGACACACTATGCAGGGCCACCACCTGCTGCTTTAGGATAAAGGCGAAAGGCATTTCTGGTACGCTCACTGATTCAGGGGTCCTCAGATACAGGCTTTTCTCTGGTCAGCAGCACAATAAGAAAACATACATGTTCCTGTTAAATTTGCTGCCTTTGAGCTGAAGTATTTATTCTACGCATGTACTTCCTACTTATTTGGGATGAAAACGTCCTCTGGTTTATGAAAAGGCATTTTGAGAACTTGTTCAATGACAGAGTGGGCGTCATTACATGAACCAGCACCTGTAGCATTTTTGCTCTTCTTCAGGCAAAGCTCCAGGAAACTGGCTGAACCGCGAGAGCACCAGCCCTGGGGGAGGGACCGGTGAGGCCGCCCGTCTGTCACGGGGCTTCACCGCAGCCCTGATCACACCTCAACCCAACAACAGAACCATAGGACAGGCGGAACAGGCGCTGATGCCAGCCCCCCCCCCCTCCCCCGCCCCATCACTCCAGGGAAGGCAGGAGGGCCTGACTCGATTTCTGTGAGCCGCCCCAGAGCACAGAGGGTAACAGAGGGTGAGCCTGCGCTTCCCTGAGCCCACGGCCCTAGTGGACCTGGAGAATTTACTCAGGAAGAGCAGGCATCTGCGGGCTGGTTAAGGAAGAGGTCTAGCAACAGTCGCTCCAAGCACCCTTGACAGGCTCTGTAGCGAACGAGCAGAGACGTGATCACACGCACGTGCCTCGGTGTGCCTCCAGTTTCCCAGTCAATTACATGAAGACGCTCACTGGGAAACGGATTACCTCTGAACACGTTTTATCTTGCAGCAGTATGTCCACTTGGGTCAAGTACTTCCTTCTCAGCTCATCTTTCAAAGGGCTCCAAGACACTGCAGGCTGATACGAAAGAGAAGTCAGCATTCGGAAGAGCGCTGGGGGCGGAGGAGCTCGGACTCTGGAACACACTGGCAAGCTCGCCGACGTGCGCACCTTTACGTGACATCCTCCAGGTCCTTTCCCCTTCCCCCTGGTTCCCAGAGGGTGCTCCAGCCCCTCTGAAAATGCATCTGACCCAGGAATCTGACTTCAGGGAATTTCCCAGGGGTAACGATCCAAAAGAAAGTAAAGACAAAAAATACAAGTCTGCAGAGGTTTATGACAGCGTTGCTAGAACAGAAAGAAATGTAAAACCATCTGCATATTCTCTGGTGAGTTCAGGACTCAACTACCAGAACTGACCCCAATCAGCATGCTTTAGAAGTTGTGTTCCCACTCAGGAGGCAGGAACAGTCGCCTCTCTGCCCCTCAGCTGCCACCCAGGGGAGACAGCAGGTCCCAGTCTCCTCTCTGCACCTTAGTGGGGTGACAGACACGCATGGCTCAGCGTGTTCCCTACCGTTGGGCCACCCACTTCCTCTTCACGGTCACCACCCCCATGTAATACTTCAATAAGTACCCGCATTCCTCGGTCAGGGTCACTCCCTTATTCTAGTGAGACAAGTCACGCATGGGTGTAGGAGCAAACCCCTGCACAAAAGTGCAATTTTAGAGAAAAACCACAGTCCAGCTATTCCAGCATCTGGCGCAGGGGCCAAGAAAGGCGCTCCAGTGACTCACGTTCTGTGTGTTCTCGTCTACCCAACGGGCCGGAAAGGGGAGAAGCAGGTCTTATAAAGGAGACAGAGGGTTTCCGGGGCTGCTGGGAGACAGGCCAAGAACAAAGGCCTGAGTATGTGACCTCGTGACTCAACGGGCTTTCCAGGGCTCAGCTGGAAACCCTCCCTAGGACCCCTTCCTCCTGACATGGCCTCTACGGGGAAAGATCGACTTAGAGCCCAACTTTCAATATTGTGTGCTCGACTGAGTGAAGGGCACGCTGAACCACAGCCATGATTTTTCTGTTTGCAGAGGGAACGTCATCTAATAACATCAGCGGAAATTCACCAAATCAGGCTTGAACTGGGATTCCTGAGGCTGCCAAGTGCTAGACTCAGAAGGAGCGACTGGCTGCCTTAGGGGACACACTAAGGGGGGACCAAAGCCTTGAGGGGCGGGACCAGCGAAGAGCGAGCCTCGAAGAGGACTCCAGGGAAGGTGTGGGTGATGAGGGTGTGCCCTTGCACCGCAGCCCCAGCTCTGTCCCTTCACGACAAGAGGCCTGTCTTTGTCTTACCATTAAGGTCCCATCAGCCAGGTCCTCCTGGTATGAAGATGCATCACCACTGCTTTCTGAATCTAAAAGCAAAACAGGAAACTTCAATCAGGATTTTCAAGGAAGCTTGCATTTTTCTCTCCAGGGTGGTTTTTGCATCGCTTGACTATGTTCTACAGTAAGACTTCCTCCTGCTTCAAGCGTGTCCCTTTTAACACGGGCACAGCCACCTGTCACTGTGCCTGAGTACCAGTAATGCAGGGAACGCACTGGAACAGGAACTGCCTCAGGTGGTGCAGAGAGAAAAGCAGCTTTCATATCACCTCCACCTCTCGGAATGACCCGTGGTCCTAGGAGCAGCGTGCAACAGGACTTCCTGCAGTGACGGACAGTCCCCTCTCTGCAGGCCAGGATGTCAGCTGCTAGCCACACGTGGCTGTTGAACACTTGGCATGTGGCTAGTGAGGCTGGGAGCTAAATTTAAAATTTTATCTAATTTTCGATTAATTTCAACAGCCATAAGTGGCTAGCACTACCATAATGGACAGTGCAGCTCTAGAACAACTATTTCTAACTACTTCAAGCAGTCTAGGAAATTCGTGGACCTAAAGATTTATGGAGTTAACATCTATGAGTAAATGGCTTCATTAAGACACCAGTTTTCCCTTTAGGACCCAATCCTTATTACTGAATTGCCGGGGCAGGCCAGGTGCCAGGGAGGGGCTGGGCGGATGGACAAAGGCTGCCGATAGGCCAGTTCCAGCCGGAGATGGGTGTTTAAGGCCAATCACAAAGTCTGTAATTACACAGCTGTTTCACTGCTCTAAGGGGAAAAGCCAGGTGTAAAGAGCTTACGTAAAGGTGGGTTCTGATCTGGGGACCAGGGGGCTTCCTGGCAGTGGGCAGGTCAGGCGGGGTCTGGATTCTGCTTTCCAGCCAGAGCAGCGGGAAGCCACTGGAGTGCTTTGAACAGGGAAGCGATGTGACCGGATTCGCATGATCAAAGGAGTCAGTGGGGCAGAGGGAGCCCGGAGCTGGAACTGTGGGGGTGCAGTGGGAACAGGGGCATGGGGGGGGGAGCAAAAGAGGCACAGCACAGAGATGTCCTGGATATGGGGAGCGAGGGAGGGGCTGAGATAAAGAGGACGCTGGATTTCTGGCTCATTCTCTAAGATCTTATAGTGAGGACAAGTCTGTGGGTTGACTTTTTCAGTTTAAATGCAGGAAGTTTAGACAAAGGATTGAAGAAGAGAGGCCGCTAGACAATAAACACACCCAGGCAGGGTCAGGGCTGGGGGTTCTGTCAGAGTGAGGGGCTCAGACCACCTCTTGAGAAAGGGCATCTGGTGAAGATGGGAGGTGGGCCGGCAGAAGCGCTGAGAAGGCAGGAGATGGAGGGAGAAGCCCCAGCGCACAGCGCCGCTGAGGCCAAGGCCAGGTGTTCCAGAAGCTTCAAAAAACGAGGCCCCGTTGGAAACAAGAAGGAAAAGGGACGACTGCAGAGGCAGGAAGGCTTTCCGTGGAAGTCGGTGGTTCCTACCACCACGTAAAGGCAAATCTTATTAAATTCTTGAGATTAATCTTTTTTCTTGCAAAACGTTTAAAAAATGGGGCGGGGTATGAGGCCTGTGTGTTCATTATTTTAGACTATTTGAATACCGCTTGTGCCAAGTATCATGGTGTGAGCAAGATAGCTCCTATGGGGAGCTCAGAAGGAAACAACAGGGCAACGAGTTAAGATATTTCAGCTTTTAAGACCTTAGAAAAAATCATAGTGAGGAATCTGGACTTGAAACGTAACAGGGACATGTCAGGCCCAGTCCCTTCTGACCTTGCTGTCTAGCCCAGGGGACACTCACCAACTCTCAGGTCTTGTGTGCAGGGCGCTGGCAGCTCGTCACCTCTGGCTGTGGCTGGTACGGAGCCCTCAAAATGCGGAAGGTGATAAAGACACACTCATTTCAGTCATAGTACATTTCAAAGCCACTGTAAAGTAACAAGCCTACAATCCATCCTTTAACATATGAGAACAGGGAATCTCGCAAAGTTTCTCTTCCACAGCACATTTCGGGATAAAAGGCCTCAAATCTCCTAGTGGATGGAGGAGGGTCCCCTGGGAAAAGGGACAAGTTTTCCTGCTCCGGCTGTGCCCAGGGCAGCTGCTTCAAACACCACTCGGATGGTGAGGGATGGAGCAGGAAAAGGGAGATGCCGAGGCATGTGTGAAAAGGGACGGGCTCGGCCCACATGATGCCAAATGAAAACGCAAAATGACCCAGGACAGGCCAGTGGCTCGATCAGGTAGAATCCAGATGCTCCAAGGCCCCTGGGCGACTTTGTGTGGTTTTAGCAGTGTTTCTCTCGGTGTTGTGAGGCCTACAATTCCTTTATGAGCTTCAGCAGGTAGTGTGACCCTGTGAGCAAGGAACCAGTTGAAGCCTAAGCTACACTCGTGGGGGTGGTCAGAAGCTACTCCTGTGCGGTTTACGGAGCAGCGGTTTGGTGGCTGCTGTGTCTGGCGGATTGACGGAACTTGCCATGGCAATTTCAGTGAGGCTGTAGATGGCCGAGCTCTTATCAGACTATGCTGTTTTCTAATCCCAGGAAAGGGGTTTAAAATTCTGTAGAAACCCCACCCACATCCACAGACAGGGGTACTCCTTCATTTTAAGCAAAAACCTTACAAAATGTCCAGGTGACAACATTTTGCCACCAGGACCATCAAGCACTGGTCTTATTGGTGGGTATCACTATTACGTATAAAGAATGCATATCTTTGACCTAATGATCCCACTTCTGAAAAGGGGTGACATCAGTACTGGG